ATCTTTGATGGTGGATTTCAGCACAGCTATTAAGCACATCAGCGTCTTAATTGCATGCACGGTGCCACTTAGCAGCGCTTCTCAGAGAGCGCCCAGCGACCACTTCTCTTCATCGACCATGCCAGCAACACTACCAAACTGCATCTTTAAGCCACGGGAACAGTACTGCGCGATGGATTACAAAGAACTCAGCGAAGGCATCCGCAATCTCGGAGCACCTCGAATACCTAGAGTTTAAAGAGGACATATCTACCACTTACCCGGAAGCAGCTAAAAGTAAGCCACCTACAAGCGCCAAAGGCTCCCTTACCATGGCTCCGCATCAGTTTGGCACGGTATGCAAAACTAGCCCTACAAAATTAGCAAGATTTGGAATGAACTACTACTGTGCCAATATCTTCACCTTTAGAGTTGCTTATTACATTTAATTCTCAACGTCCCCCTCCTTTTTCCCTTTCCTCCAGCAAAGGGCGTCAGGAATGATTTAGAGGCGACATAGAAAGAAGCAAGTGACACAGGGCAGTGCTTTAATCTCCTAATTTCATCTCCCTAATGACCAGCCTGATCCCCTCCCCCTTCTCTTTATTTCTTTTTGTCGCCGGAAGGCTTCTTTTGACTTAATACTTTGGGTAGATAGCAACTCTTTTTAGAGGTCTAACATAAATGGTGTGACTGCTGCGTTGGTTAGTGGGCCGGCGATTGGGGTTGGTGTTGATAGAAACGCTAGATTCTGGGAAACTGTACCTTTTCTCAGGTCAGTCCGGCTTTTGCCTCCCCCCGTCCCCCGCCCTGAGCCTGATATTCAATCTCAAACCAGATCTAAAGCCAAGACGTTTCTGAGACACAGGTTCAAGCTTTGGAACCTTTTACTTGATCACCAACTCACTCGAGCCCGCTTGATCAGAGCGTCTGCATTCACACGCACATGTGCAAGTGTGCCTTCGAAACATTCACATTTGGCCACCCAGACGTGTCGAGACGAATCGGAACCACAGTACAGAAACCTCGTTAGTATACCCGACCTCCCCCCACCACAGCAAAAGCCTCCTGGCTTCAAACATCCCCTACGAAAGCAAAACGTTTACCTTGAAATTTTGGTTCTCCGCCGGATCAAATGTGCACATCCATTCAGCTGGGTTGGGTCCCCTCCCCCTCCTTAGCGGTGCTTCCCCGCCCCCATTCACCTCCTTCCCCACCTCAGAGCCCATTGTAAATTGTGTCCAGCCAGTATTAAACTCGAACGTTTACAACTTTAATTCAGTTCTGGTTAGCCAGGGTTGAAGAGCTTCTTCCAAAGCTCCACTCCATTTCTCACCTCCTTTCCATCAAAGGAGACCAAAGATTTGAGAAAATAAAGTTGAATGAGACTGGGAAGGCTGACATTCTGACTGGAAAACGCACCACCGATAGAAATTCGCGAGTGCACGGCACATTCTCAGATTATTATTTTTTTAAATAGAGGGCGGGGATCGGGGGAGGGGGGCTGTATTTGTTCTCTCCCAAAGAATTTAGACCCTGGATCACCGCCTGCCATATCCCTGCATTAGGCAGCATGGAGCCGCCCGGGCGGGAGCCCAAACCGAGGCCGAACCAGTGGCTCGGGGCACAGCTGCTGGAACGGCCGCCCAGGAAGAAGCACCCTGAGTTCCAGGACGGCAGGCTCCCCCACCCCCACACCTCCCCAAAGCGAAGGAAGGGTAGAGGAAGAAGGGGAGGGAAGAGAAAGGAGAAAGCCACTTAGCTCTCTCTCTCTCTCTCTCTCTCTCTCTCTCTCTCTCTCTCTCTCTCTTTTTTGTTTCAGCAGCAGGGAGGGGGGGGGGGGACACACAGGAGCCTCTTAGAAAGTAAATCATAGACTTACCCTGTCTCACATCTCAAGGGCCCACTCATCCTAGCCACCCTTTGAAAAATACCTCTTCGGGGTGTGCACTGATTTTGAAGCTTAGGTAGACGGAGAAGGCTGCAAGTAGTGCGGGCTGAACCGCTGTCGGAAAGCGGCACCGGGAAGCCAGTAGCCCCGGGCGGCCGCCGCGGTGGCGACCGCGGGTTCCGGGGCTACCCAAACGGCTCTCCCCGGCACTCTCCGCGGTAGTCGGAGCGGGCAGCGGGGTTGGGGGGGGGGTACTGTGGGGGGAGATCGCTAGCGGTGGGAGGGAAGGAGGGGGGAGGGGGTGGCGAAGGACCCGCTGGAGACGCGCCTCGCGGTAGGGGCTGGGAACTGGAGCCAGAAGGGGCGGGGAGGGGAGGGAGGCAGCGAGGCGGGGTAGGGGGACGCGAGCCTGCAGCCCGGCCCGGCAACGTGACGGTCAGCTCCAGGGAGCGCTCTCACCAGCTCTCACTCAAGCTCCCTCTCACCATCTCTCCCACGCGCGCTAAGCGCCATCCCGGGGTCCCTGGGCCCCTTCGCCGCAAGCCCCACCAGGCCTGTACTTACAGTTCCCATCTGCATAGGGGGCAACTTTGTGCGACCCAGAGGTGGTCGCCGCCCCCTTCAGCCGCCTGGAGCTCTTCGTACCCTCCGGCCTGGGGTCGCACCGGCAGGCCCTCCCCTCCCCCCTAGGCTCTGGGGATTGCTGTCTTCACCACATTCCTCCCTGGTCAGTGGCGCACGCCCCGGGACCAGCCAAAGGGAGAGGGGCACGAGGGTGTGCGCGCATCGCCCTCCTTCTTCTTGCAGCGCACACTGTACATGGTAGTGAGGGGGCGAGAGAAGGAGGCACTGGCCCCTTGGCTGCTCGGCCGGCTGCTCCTCCACTGGGCTACTCTCTCCCCACGCGGCGACCACCGAGATCCCGCCGCCACCTCTGTCCCGGAACAGAGCCCGCAGCCGCAGCCCCTAATTAGTATTTGATCGGCTCCCGCATCCTCTTGGTGGCCTCACAGCTCCTGGTGTTTGCAGGGCTTTTTCTCTATCCCTCCCTAGAAGCGGCGCAGGATCGTCATTATTTGGAACTCTTTATCTCCGGCATCCTTAGAAGGGTCTGAGGGGCAGGAAGAGCGTTGTTCTCCGCCTGTGGCGTTCCTGGCAGTCTGGTGGCTCTAAAAAACTCCGAGAAAGTCTCGTCTTCTCTCCTAGGGGCTGAGGAGGCGGCCACATCTGCTGGGTGCAGGGCTCCGTCCGATGGACTTGTTTATTGTCGCGCCGCCTGTGCGAGCCAAGCTGCAGCAGACATGATGGGCCCGGGGCGAAGCGGGCGTTCGGTGGCCGTTAGATGGCAGCCGAGTGCGAAGGCGTCCCTTGGCACCTGAGGCGCAGCCGGAGCCCCCCTTGGATGTCACGTTTGTGGGAGACCGAGGCGTCTGGGAACATGTGGGTAATACCAGTGTAGGACTGTGCAGTCTGCCGATTGGCAAGGGAGAGTGGAAATAACCTCGGCAATGCTAGGCTATATTGGTGGTCAGGGGCAGAGGATTCCAGTCCATTGCGGTTAGCTCTCCTGCCTCTGCCATTTAGGAGAGAGCCAGGGCTTCAGCCTCCTGCGGTGTCTGTTGTAAAGGACCCTGGAGGGAGTGGCTCATCCTAGCTGTAGAAAGTGAGCTTATTTATTTTTTTCCTTTTAAAGAATTACATTTCATAAGCGTTTCCGAGTAGTTGAAGGGAATATGAACGACTTCCAGAGAGAACGTGGACACATTAGGTTAACCAAAAAGCTGGAAACCGCCATAGATGCAAAGTCTGTTGAGAGCGAGTTTCTTGAAGAGTCACTTGCTGAACTCCACTAGCATCACCTCTCTGTAAGTATGCTGGCTCTTTCCACGAAACCTGACAACTTCCTCCTCAAAAGAAGGTCTTTGCATTTACAAAATGTGGTTTACATTTTAGGAATATTAGGCCTTCAGTGCACGCCAGGTATAGAAGAAAGTTGTTCACAGTCAGTGGCTCTACAATATAGGCTGCTGGTCTGCTTCTTCCCATCATAGTCGGGGAGTTTTACAGTGTAAACACATTTTAACCCCTTCTTCATGAAGTTATATTTTAAACAGTAAATGATATTGTCTGATTTTTAGTATTTGGGATATTGTGGCTACTATATGTGATTAATATTAGGATTCAGAAGTAGTTTATATATGCAGATATCACCATTTCATGAGTTTATCCAGAGTTAGTGAACTATTTCAATTTTTTGCTATTTGTAATTCTCTTGAATTTCCTCTAAATCTGTTTAGCAATTAATTTTAGTTACACTATAAACACTTTCTTTGGAAATAATTTTGTTTATTTCATTTAAGTTTGGATAGTGTACAAGGGAGAGAGAAAATAGTAGTAATTTTTGATGCCAGGTAATGAAAATCTTAGAATTGTTTGTTAAATTTACATACATTTGTCATAGGACTAGTAGGTAGTTATGGCTTCAGGCATATTATATAATCAGATATAACAAACTGTACTTAAAAACAATTGTTACTGTATTTTCAATGTTTTTTATCCTCAAAAATGACATAAAATTTTATAAAATTCATTTTAAGATAAAAAATCAGCTTTATATTTTAAGTTATATTTAATTTTTAAATTGCATGTTATCCACATCCCAAAACCTCTGGTAAATACTGGAGTACTATTAGAAAAACTAACTTTTTAAATATTGACTAACTCTGTATAATAAACGATATGACATAGGATACCTTAGTTATGAGACTTCTCAGATTGTCTATTTTAAATTAGTGCTTTACATCATCACAATTCCACCTAATGTAGCTTTATTTTTCTATTTTGTACTATTTTATTTTAAACAATACCCTATTTAAAAAGAGTTTGTTAAACTAAGGCATATTAAACTCATTTGGAATGCATTCCACTAACAATTTAGCATGAAACACTTATACCCACATTCCAGATTGCCTCTTGAAAACTTTCTAGCATTGACTCCACATTCAGGATTGCCATAGGCGCCACAGTTACGTTTTACCACTAGGTGTCTCTGTAAACTGAATCCAAGAAAGAATTTTAAGAAATACTGTGACATTGAAACTAGAAAAAAATAAATGCAGTAAGAAAAAACACAACAGAAATAAGGAAAAGCCTCAGTTTTTAAATTTATACACATCTGCTTGCTTTGAATGGTGAATATTTTCTAGGAAATATATAAATAGGTCATATACTACTGATTAAATTTGAACCAAGACTTTCACTTGATTTGATGCATCTCTTTGATCTATACTAACTGTCATAAGATGTGTATGCCCGCTTTCACACAATATGCAACTAAATATAAACGACTTCATAAAAACATTTGGATGCTGTAAAATAAAAATAATGATAATATAATTATCCCCAGAAATACCCCACTATGCATTGTTTAATTAAAGCGGATGTAAAAAGCTCGGACTCTTTATCCAAACACTTGTGAATACATTTGAGCATATTAATTAAGCTATAAGACAGCACAGTCATGAGTACATGTCACAGATAGGCAGGTTTTTTAAAGTAATTATTACAAATTATGGCCACGATTTGATACAGCATATTAAACTTTAAGTGAAAGTATTGACTCATGACTTAGAGCTGACAACCTATTTTCCATGAATTCATACTTATTATTGTCTCAAATTTTTGTTTATAACTCTATAAGTGCTTTGGAGTAATTTATGTAGGAAATGGATTTCTTACAATATTTCATTTGTGTTACCACTGTGTTGTTTCCTCAGTGTATCAAAATGTGAAGTCAAGAATTATAGATCCTCAAGAACTAACCTAATAAGAATTGTAAATGAGGAAATTCTTTCGTATTAACTGTGAGATTTTAAGTGAATTGATGAATTTCTGTAAAACCTAACCCCATTAGAATTTTCATTTCTTTCTGGTAGCTTACATCATGAATTATGAATACCGAACTATAATGTTAGATTTCAGACTTCTCCAAAACTGGATCTAATATTACTTTTGTAAGAGTAATGAATTAGAAGCTACTATAGCCTATAACCTAATGATTTTAGGTATGAATTATAATGTACTAGTTCCATAAGTGTTTGAAGTTGAAGTGAAATATATTACATATCTCTAAAATGAAAAAAAATTGACAGTTTCCTTGGAGGAAGAAAAGTAAATTATTTTTTGTTATTGCTTTTCTTTTATTTTGTTTCTATTTTTCCATTTTTATTTTTTCTATGGACAGAGTCTTTCTGTAGCTCTAGCTGGCCTGAAACTTGTTATGGAGAGCAGGCTTGCCTGGATCTCACAGAGATTCTCCTGCTTCTGCCTCACAATTGCTGGGATTAAGGGCATGTGCCACAATGCCTAGCCTTGTTATTGGTTTTCAAAGCAATTGCCAACTAGGAACCCATAATGTATATGATTTAATCTAGTCTCATACAATTGGAATTACAGCAAACATAAGATGTAGTAATATTTGTGAAACCCAAATCATAAACGAAATTGATTAATATAACTGAGATTATTTATTCAGCTATGAAATTAGTTATTTGCAATCTAAGAAATATGACCTATGATGCATAAAATAAATATGTGCATAAAATATAATTTTTCATTGTTTTCCAAACCTCATTATAAGTATACTCTGAAGTTTTTGATATCATTATATGACAATTCAGTATCTATCAAAGTTTGCTATGCATATATCTTTTGAACAATATTTTCAGATTTTAACCTAGAGATTTATCAAAGTAAATATGCAAATTCATATTTAAGAAAGTATTCAATGTAGCATTTATTTGCATCTGAATGCTGTTAAGAACAAGTTTAATGAAGAAGTAATAATGTTCATCTATGCCTTCAAGTACTGTTCTACCTTAAATAGAAATGTGTATAATAATATAGTTCTGCCATTATTTAGAGTGTATGACACTGGAGCATCACATACATTCCCATGGGGAAAGGAGAGGGAGAGCAAGGAAGGGAGAAGAGAGAGAACTGTTCTTTCTTGAAAAATATACACACACAAATCCAGTGATGGTCATTATCTCTCAGAAACCTGGAACTCTTGAAAAGAGCAGAAATTAATATTTTGGTGTTTCACCATATACTCTAGGTTTCTACTGTAAAATGTCAACTTATGTGCAAATTAAAAAATATTTTCATTGAGTTTTTGTGCATTTCATATAACAGATCTTAATCAAACTTAGACACATCCTCCTTCCTCCCCCACCCAGAGCCCAAGCCACTGGATACCATACATTATATCATATATGTTAAGTCCTTTCCTGTAAAACATTTGTACCCAGATATCCCTCTGTGCAAGTTCATCTATTAGAGTATAGTCAGCCTACCAGTCATTCTCTTAATGATCTACTCTCTCTCACCCAGTAGTAATCAGTTGCCAGTAGTTCTTCAGCTAGGATTGGGGCCTGCTCCCCATTTCCCTCATTCTATGCTGGGTTTTTATCTGATGGAGCAGGCATGGGTCTTGTGCAAGTTGTCACCACTGTTGCAAGTTCATATGTGAAAGTTCCCAGTGGCTTGAAAGCCTTTGTTTCCTTCTGTTTGTGTACCAACCTTGGCTCTTATAATCTTTCCAACCTGTCTTCTGCAATGGTCCCTGAGCCGTTGGTAGGTGAGATTTGATATAGGAGCCTTATTCAGGAACATACACTCTGCAGTCTTTTATTCTCTAAAACTTGGTCAGTTGTGGCCTTCTCTGTCCATCACACTTTGTTGTATGAGGAAGCTTCGCTGATGAGAGTTCAGGAATGTACGGGAGTGGGGGAACATTTGGAATAATGATGAGAATTCTGATGCAGAGCTCTAAAATTAAGTTTTATCCTGTCGTTTTCAAATCTGTTTTATTTCTTAGAAGCATATTAATATCAGTTTAAACACTGAGTAGACCTCTAAATGAGTATAAATTGGTTAAATTATTTCTCTTATATGCAACATTCAATTCTAGCACCTTATATCAACTAATAGAATAGTAACTCACAGGACCTAGTTCCCATCCTCTTTTTGTACAGAACCAGTCAGTTTACTGGAACATTAGAGTTTTTTGATTATCTTCTGTGTGAGGGTGAAGTTCAAAATGATTCTGTAGAGAATAGTGAATAAACTTGTTATTGTGAGCCTTAGTTCTTTTCTGTTATCTACATGCATATGAGGAGATAAGCAATTGTGACATATATAAACATACAAACTATGTCAAGCCCAGAGAGAACGAAAAGCTACTGCCACCTGGGTTCGAAAATTGAAATCTGTGCTTCCCATGGGAAAAGAGGCAGTTGTATCACACAGGTTAGCTTTCCTGTGTGTGTCTCTATCAGAGCAAAGATTAGTCTAATGGGTACCATTGATTCTTAGCCTTTACCTCTACTCAAGTTTAGAAAACAAGTCTAAACAGGTATTATGTTTTGTCTGGATTTTCTGCCTCCTCCTCCTCCTCCTCCTCCTCCTCCTCTCAAAGCAAGACAACAGTATTTCTAAAACGCAATATGGTCGTGAAAATTTGCAAATGCCTAATTTGATACACCTAGTATTCAATGTTGTCAGTTGGAATCCTTCAACCAGATGCTCCCATAACTTCCTTACTTCCTCAAAATAATCAGTTTTGCCCCAGTAATAATACATTTGATCACACTGAAGAAATGTTGCATTCTTTCCTAGAATGTGATAGATCCTCTGTCCTATGTTTGAGATTAAAAATAGTTGATTTTGAATGTGGTTGCTCAGGCTTTTAATCCCAGCGCTCCATTGGCAGAGGCAGGTGGATCTCTGTGAGATGGAGGCCAGTTTTGTGTATATAGCAAGTTCTAGGCCACCTGGGGTCACAAAAAAAGGCTGTCAAAAAAAA